CGGGGCCACGAAACAAAGCGAGGGGGCCACGAAGGACTGCAACGGGGCCACGAAGGGCAGCGAAGAGGCCTCGAGGGGCTGCAACGGGGCCGCGAAGGGCAGCGAGGGGGCCACGAAGGGCTGCAACGGGGCCACGAAAAAAACGAGGGGGCCACGAAGGGCTGCAACGGGGCCACGAAGGGCAGGTAATCTGTGAGGGAGTCCGAAACGTGAGCGCGACTCCTGGGTGCCTGGGTGTCGGGAGCGCGACGCTTGAATAAATTGCAAGAATTTCCACTGCAAGAACGCTATTCTTCAGTAAATTGCAAGCAAGTCTCCAGCGAGAGCGCGACTCCAGAGCGCCGGGAGAGCGATTCCTGTATAAATTGTAAGGCAGTCCCAAGCGAGAGCGCGATTCCTGAATTCGCCGGCCCAACGGGCCAGGGCGTGCTAAGATCTCCGGTAACTGATTAACAGTATTAACAGTATTTCTAGTTCGCGCGCGCGGGGCGGCCCCTGGGGGTCCCCCGGCGAAAAGTACCCCGACCAACGCCCGGTCGCCGCCCGACCGCCGCCCGACCGCCGCCCGACCAAGTCTACTCAGAGATGGTTTTCCTTCTGGGTGCGGCCTCTCAGGCTCCCCAGAGCGCGCTCAGAGTGCCCCAAGAGGCCCCCAAGACTGCCCAAGAGGCCCCCGAGACGCCCAAAGAGCGCTCGAAGACGCCGAAGATGACCCCAAGACGGCCCAAAAGGCCCCCAAGACAGCCCAAGAGGCCTCCAAGACGCCCCAAGAGCCTTCCAAGAGGCCTCCGAAGAGAGCCCCAAGAGGCCAAAATCGTTGATTTTCATTGGTTTTTTCTATGTTTTTTGTGTTCTGGCTTTTTCGGCTTCCGGACGCTCCAAGACGGCCCAAGAGGCCCCCAAGACCGCTCCAAGACGGCCCACGAAGCTCCCAAGACGGCGCCGAAACGACCCAAGAGAGCCCTCAAGACGGCCCAAGTGCCGCCCAAGACGGACCAAGAGGCCCCAAGACGGGCCCAAGAGGGACTCAGGAGGGATACCGAGAACTCAAAAATGGAGCCCTCCGTCCCAGAAGGCGCCCAGGAGGTCCCAAAGAGGCCCCAAGAGGCCTCCAAGAGGCCCCAAGATGTCGCCAAGAGGCCCCAGGAGACTCCCAGGAGGCCCAAAAGAAGCCCCAGAAGGCTTCAAACATGTCTCCCAGGCGCCCCCGAACGGCCTCTCAACAGACCCCAAGAGGCCCCCCAAAGAAGCATCTTGACGACGACTCTATTTCGCCCCATCGAGAGACGACCCCCAGGGAACTGCTTCACCATCAAAACTCCCCACGCAACGCGTCCGAACGACACCCGCCCCCAAGAGCGCAACATGGGCAACGAACACACAGACAAAAACCAGCGATGCCATATCACGGGCCGGCGGAATGAGCGAAGCGATTCAATAAATTGCGAGGAAGTCTCGGGCGGGAGCGGGGGTCCTGGCTAAATTGTGAGGAAGTCTCAGGCGGGAGCCGTTGTTGTTGCAACCCGGGGGCCAACGACACAGTTTGACCCTCAAGACTTTCCCTGATAACAAACAGGGTGCGAGCCCCAGGAAGGGCACTTCAATCGCGAAAAAACAATGTGCACCGGACGGGGGGGATCAAAAATAATTAGCCTTCAGAAATGAGAGTTCAACAACAACAACATCAACAACAACAACGACGACGACGACGACGACAACAACAAGAACCACAACAACAACAACAACAACAACAACAACTACAACTACAACTACAACAACAACAGCAACAACAGCAACAGCAACAGCAGCAGCAACAACAACAACAACAGCAGCACCACCACCACCAACAACAATAAAACATCAATAACAACAGCAACAACAGCAACAGCAACTACAACAACTACACAACGACGATGACAACAACAGCAACAACTGCAACAACACCAACAATCACAACAACAACAACAAACACAACAACCGCAACAACAACAACCACAACCACAACCACAACAACAAACACAACAACAACAACAACAACAACAACAACAACAACAACACAACAACAACAACAACAACAATAACAATACCAATAACAACAACAACAACAACAACAGCAGCAACAACAACCACCACAACAACAACAACAACAACAATAACACCAACAACAACAACAACAACAACAACAATCATTTAAGACTGGGGACACTCCGTTCTCACCAGTGCCAGGGTTTTCATAGGAGGCGGGCAATACCCCCACTTTGTGGGGGGGCCGGTTCAAGCTCTACCAAATTTCCAAACGACTCTTCGCCACCACCCACACCCAGCTTCCCGCCCTATGACGTTCGGACACTTCACTTCGTGGCATGCGGACGACCGTGGCTACTATTCAGGGCCCCGCGGCCGACGACGACGGCGTGCGCGCGCGAAGAAAAAACGAATGTGTCCCGCATGGTATTATTTGACAGGGATGATGGCCCTGGCAGGTGCGCAACCGTTGTCGCAGAAGTTCGAAAAAGTTGCTCGCAAAAGCCCGTTTGACAGAAATGTTTAAAAAGTGTTGGGTTTCCTACGAATCCGCAAGAGCGCGCGGGATGAGATTTTGACATTTTTTTGTTGAAAAACCATTGGTTTTTTGATGTTTTTATGTTAAAATCGCTCCGAACACTAAGCTTTTGGAAGGATTTCGTCTTGCGCGCGCGAATGTCCACTTTACCTTATTTTTTGCAAGGGATTCTTGAAATTTGATTATATTAGAACAAGAAATGTCATTTTATAGTGTTTTTTGCAAGGGAAAGCGGGGGGGAACAAAACAACCGGATCTTGATCACATCGAATTACCTGAGGCTTCCTCACGAAAATGATGAAAATGTAGCTGCGGCCTAGGCGGCGCAGGGGGGCCGTGCACCAGGGGCCCCAACAATAATTATTCTTTAGAATTAATAATGTTCAACAACAACAACAACAACCACTACCACAACCACAACCACGACCACAACAGCAACACCGACGACGACGACAACAACGACAACAGCGAAAACGACGACACCAACAACAATCACTTTAAGACCGTTCGCCCTTATATGTTCGAGTGTCCAATAACGCCTATGTCCCAAACCCTCGATACCCGCCCTCTTCATCTTCGATCGAACCCCTTTTGGGGGGTATAGCTTTTCCCTGCAGGCCGGGCCCTGGCAAGCGACGGGGCGGCCGCGGACCGTCGGCCTGGCCAGCGGCAGCGCTGATCGGCGGGGCGGCCCGACCCGACCCCAAGAGGGACGGACAGGGGGCCGACCACGACGACAGCGAGGGGGCCACGAAGGGCAGCGAGGGGGCCACGAAACAAAGCGAAGGGGCCACGAAGGGCAGCGAGGGGGCCACGAAGGGCTGCAACGGGGCCACGAAACAAAGCGAGGGGGCCACGAAGGACTGCAACGGGGCCACGAAGGGCAGCGAGGAGGCCACGAGGCGCTGCAACGTGTCCACGAAGGGCAGCGAGGGGGCCACGAAGGGCTGGGGCCACGAAGGGCAGCGATATACCGATTCCTCTGTAATCTGTGAGGGAGTCCTAAGCGTGAGCGCGACTCCTGGGTGCCTGGATGTCGGAAGCGCGGCGCTTGAATAAATTGCAAGAATTTCCAACGCAAGGGCGCTATTCTTCAGCAAATTGCAAGCGAGTCTCCAGCGAGAGCGCGACTCCAGAGCGCCGGGAGAATAAATTCTAAGGAAGTCCTAAGCGAGAGCGCGATTCCTGAATAAAACGCGAGGAAGTCTCGGGCGGGAGCGGGGGTCCTGGCTAAATTGTGAGGAAGTCTCAGGCGGGAGCCGTTGTTGTTGCAACCCGGGGGCCAACGACGCAGTTTGACCCTCAAGACTTTCCCTGATAACAAACACCCGGGAAGGGCACTTCAATCGAAAAAACAGTGCGCACTGGACGGGGTGGGTCAACAATAATTTGGTCTTCAGAAATTAGAGTTCAACAACAACAACAACAACAACAATCATTTAAGACTGGGGACACTCCGTTCTCACCGGTGCCAGGGTTTTCATAGGAGGCGGGCAATACCCCCACTTTGTGGGGGGGCCGGTTCAAGCTCTACCAAATTTCCAAACGACTCTTCGCCACCACCCACACCCAGCTTCCCGCCCTATGACGTTCGGACACTTCACTTCGTGGCATGCGGACGACCGTGGCTACTATTCAGGGCCCCGCGGCCGACGACGACGGCGTGCGCGCGCGAAGAAAAAACGAATGTGTCCCGCATGGTATTATTTGACAGGGATGATGGCCCTGGCAGGTGCGCAACCGTTGTCGCAGAAGTTCGAAAAAGTTGCTCGCAAAAGCCCGTTTGACAGAAATGTTTAAAAAGTGTTGGGTTTCCTACGAATCCGCAAGAGCGCGCGGGATGAGATTTTGACATTTTTTTGTTGAAAAACCATTGGTTTTTTGATGTTTTTATGTTAAAATCGCTCCGAACACTAAGCTTTTGGAAGGATTTCGTCTTGCGCGCGCGAATGTCCACTTTACCTTATTTTTTGCAAGGGATTCTTGAAATTTGATTATATTAGAACAAGAAATGTCATTTTATAGTGTTTTTTGCAAGGGAAAACGGATTACAACAAAACAACCGGATCTGGATCACATCGTTTTACCTGAGGCTTCCTCACGAAAATGATGAAAATGTGGCTGCGGCCTAGGCGCGGCGGGGGGGGCGTGCACCAGGGGGCCCAACAATAATTATTCTTTAGAAGTAATAATATTCAACAGCAACAGCAACAGCAACAGCAACAGCAACAGCAACAGCAACAGCTACAGCCAAACAAACAAACAAACAAACAAACAAACGAAACGGATGTGAGCCCTCGAGTCCGTCCCTGCCGAACTTCTCGAACCGCATCGATCCGCGAGGGCCCCATGGGCCCAGAACGAGTCTGAAGCGCCATCTGCGTCCGTATCAGAATGCTCACGACGCGCGGAACTCAAGGTTGGCTGCAGCAAGGACCTCAACGCCTCGTGGTGGTACTCGCAGACGTACACCGGCAGGTCCTTCGGCCGTCCCGCGCGCCTGCGCTTGGCGCACACGGGCTGGCAGGGCATGGCGGCCGCGGCCATGGAGCGCATGCGGAGTCTGAGCCTGCCTGAACCTTTGCCGAGGATCTGGCCGCCAATGGGCGCGGCTTCCGAGCGAGAAGGACGAGAGGCAGGAGGACGAGGAGGAGGAGGAGGAGGAGAAGGAAGAGGAGAAGGAAGAGGAGGAGGAGGAGGAGGAGAACATGGAGGAGGAGGAGGAGGAGGAGGAGGAGGAGGAGAAGAGAAGGAAAAGGAGGAGGAGGAGGAGGAGGAGGTGGACGACGACGACGACGACGCTCGCCCGCCCAACCGCCCGCCCGCCCGCCCGCCCGCCGTGCTGGCGCGTCGCGCTAAGAAACGGTGCAGGGCCCGTTCGACACCCAAAATGGGAACGCGCGGCCGAGGGATCCCCAGCCTAAGAGGCCAGGCCGAGCAAGGCCCGGACTCCTGTGGCTGGCAGCGCCTCACAACCCAGACGCCAAGACCCTCTGCGCGCGACCGCACAAACCGCCACGAGGCTCCTCAGAATGCCCCCTTCCGACAAGCGGCCCGGGCGCGGCGCAGCGGGACACCTTCGGAGGGGCCGGCCTCGAGGTAGCCGGCGTCCACGGACAGGACGACGAGGTCCCGCGGCTCTGGAGGCGCAGCGGAGCGGCGCCGGGCCAATCGATCGAGAGTGCGGCTGGCTCAGTGGGCGAACCACGCCCGGGGAGCAGCTGACTTGTGTTTGAGTCCGCGGGCGCCAAAAGGTCAAAGACGGTCAGACTCTGGCCATCAAGCAGTGAGATGCACCAGGAGCGAATTGGGGCACGAAGGCGAAAAGAAATGTGAGCAGTTGACACGCAGCCACAGCGGCCTTGTAATGTGCAGTGCCAGCCGTGGGCCGACGCTGCTCAACGAGCCAACGGACCCCTGGTCTGTGGGGCAGGCCGCGCAAAACTTCACTCGCCGCATCCTGGGTTTAAAGCGGAGCCGCCAGTCAGTGACCAAAGGTGGACAGCACGACACAGCATCATTGGGACATATCTCTCAGAACCATTCGCGCTGCACGAGGCCGACGCCGGGAACGAGAAGAAGCTACCCGACCCGGAGCGGAAGAGAGCGCGCGACATGTTACATCCTTCCCAACAATCGAGACACGAGGTGTTGCGCCTTATGGTTTACGGTGATTCTCAAACAGTCGCCACCAAGAGTACGGGGCTGGCACGCTGGCGGGACTTGCCGCAGGCAGCCAGATAAGTGTAAAGCATTCAGGTGCGATGGACAACCCAACGAGATTATTGCATGTATGATTTGGTTTCGGAACGTGGTACGACTGGCCAAGTTGGAATTGGTACCAAAACAGACGACATGGTTGGGGATCTATACAGTCACAGTTCGTGACCCATGGAAGCGCAGACGATGTTAACAAATGTTTCGCAACGCAGCCCGATGCGTTACAAAGAACAAACCCATGCAACACAAAACAAATGCAGTGCCGCGCACTGCAACACAATATAGAAAACGATGCGGCAACCAAACAGCGCAACGCTTTGCATTGAAAGCCAACACAAAGCAATAGAGAGCACTGCAAACGCAATGCAATGCGGCTCAACGCTGGATCAAATAAGAAGTAATGCTATGCCATGTGAAGCAATTCAATACACCCATTGCGAAACATTCGCTCGAAATTCCTTCCGGTGATCAAGGCTAAAGTAGGTTGGAACGTCACAGGGCGAGAGGAGGGAAAATGGAAGAGAAGGAGGATGAGGAGGACGGACTGGAGGGAGGACTTGGGAAGAGGAGGTGGAGAATAGAAAAGGCAGGTGAAGGGACGGAGTGGGGTGATAGGCGGAGGAACGAAGAAGGAAGGAGGTAGGAAGAACGAGGAAGGATGAAGGAGGAAGCAGAAGCCAATAATGATGAACGAAGGAGGAAAAAGTAGGGAGGAGGGGCCCAGGGGTCGGGAAGGACGAAGACAAGGCGTGCGACGGCGTCCGAAGGTGGCCGAACCGCCCCCCAGAGGGCCGCAGCCTGAGCGCGGCCCAAGGGTCGGGCAGGTTGCGAGCCATCTGGCGCCAACTCCCGAAACGCTCGACCATGAACCTGGCGTTCGAAGAACAGCAAGCGCCCAGGCGAAAGCGTCGGGCCTGAGGAGGTTAAGCAACCGTCGCATACTCACTAAAACTCAGCAGCTCAGCAGAGCTTCGCATGGTGTATAGGATCGTATCAGATACTGGCGTACTGGTACATCCTCATGCCATATCCTGCCAACCAAACGCGGCCATGGTACTCGATAATACCAGACCGGCCGCGGCCGCAGACACCGTACCGAACGGTACCGTACCAGCACAGTACCGTACTAATACCATACCGTACTGGACAATACCGCATAAGATCATGCGGCGCTGTGCCACGCCATCCTCCCAAAGTAGCCCCGGAAGTACCATCTCAAACCCGCGGCTACCCACCCCCATGCACTCCCAACTGACTTTCCCAGTACCCGAAGTACCTAAAATACCCCACTCAAGTACGCTTCCCCAACTACACCTAAAGGAACCCCCCGAACAGATCAAAAAACATCCCTCACTTAGCGTGAAGAAAACTCCCGAAACATTCAAGGGAAACAACATGCAACATGTTCTAAAAATGGGAGCCCCAGGAAAACCAAAATCCCGACGAGAGGGCACCCATGTTCAGTAAAAAGCGAGGGAAACTCGGGCGGGAACATTGTCGTCATCGGAGGCAGAAGTTTAAAGGGACCCACAAAAACGCTCGAGCGCGAAAAAAATGCAAGCGTCGCCGAAGCGAAAGCGACAGAGCGGACTGACGGGGCATAGTAGAAAGGTTTGTTTGGTAGTTGAGACTCAAGACACAAAGCTTCTGGAAGAAGCCTTCGAACTCTGGAGCGAACAAGCTGGGGCAATTTCAAATAACGGGGAACCCGAGAGGAAACAGAGACCGAAGCCATGACACATGGCCTGCCTGAAAAAAGAGGGACTGCAGGAGTACCTAAACCAGCGTGTTGTCTGACTCGCGCAAGACACCCTCACATTCTCCTGTGAAAGCAGCGAAGTCCCAGCCACGAAACGAGCAAGCCGCTCGAGACATCCCGACAATGAGACCGCGAACGGGCGAATGTTACACCCTATGGCGGTTCACGCGCGGCACGCTTTCCGATGCGATCTCTGATCGTGGCCCGGAGCTTCGAACGCAAACCCGTCGGCGACCTTTTCCCGCATGAGGGCACACACTGCGCGCAGACTATTATGCCACCACTGTTCCCACGCGACGAACCCGCCGGAACCAGCGCCCCGGCTTTCCGCGAAACGTTGCAACCCGCCAGCACAGCTGGCCCCCTAGCCCGCCCCCGCCCCGGCGCGCATCGACGACAGCGAGCTTGTTTCGGAAAACATGGCAGGAGAATCGCAACGGTGATGGCTCCCCAAGCAGCACCGATGTTCAGCCGAAGCACCCCCTCGCCCGCCGCCGCCACGGAACGCGACCACGGCAGTACTGCCACGAAACCCGCATGTTCTGGCAGGCCAAGGCGACGCAAGCCGCAGATCATGGCAGAAAGGTCGAGTGGATCGAATGCCTTTTTCCAATCAAGGGCCAACGCGTACAAGTTCCCCACTGACCAACCCAATTCCAAACATATTCGCCTACGCAATGCGAATATGGTCTTGCGTCCCATGTCTTGATCTGAACCCAAATTAAGATCCCGCGAGCCTGGCTTCTGCGCCGCCGCCAACCGGGCGCCGGTGCAGCAAGGACACAGAGACTTCGCATCCAATCACGAGGAGGCGAATTGGGCGATAGTTGCTGCAATCGTCTGTTCTGCCCTTTTTGTGAATTATCGAAACCCTTGCTTTGCGCCGCTCTTGCGGGACCCGTTGGCTCTGCCAGCAATAACTTACAAACGTCGTAATTCGTTGAAGGGCGCCAGGGCTGTCCGCGAGCACATTCCAATACTCTGGCGGGGTTCCGTCTGGCCCTGGCGCCTTGCTAGAGCGCAGGCGCCGCAACCACTGTTCGACTTCGTCCTCCGTGAACCGGAAACGTCGATCGGCAACTTGTCTCCGAGAGCCGGGGCGTCGACCGCGTCAGCCGGTCTGACTCCCCATTGTAATTGTTCCAAGTACGTCGCCATGGTATCTGCCCGTGGTTCGCTGCTCACCAATTCTCCGTTCACGTCTCGCAATCTTCCCTGTTTAGCCGGACGGGGGCTGCGGAAGTTCCGCACCTGTTTCCACGACCCTGTCGCCAATGCGTTTTCCAGCCACTTGGACTTATCCTGCTTCGCGGATTTCCTTGCAGTTTTGTGCAAGTCCTTCTCGCGCCAGGCATCTCCGTCGACTCTCGCCTGCGACCTTTGTTGCATGAGCTGGACAGTCCGGGTCGCTCATCCACGGTCGTCTGGGCTGGGGGCGCTTCGTCTGGTAGCCCCGCGCCTGCGACGTGGATTGCGGCAGAGATGTCCCTCCAGGTATCTCCCACCACGTCTGCGGCGCCCAAGCCCTGATCAGTGTTCTCTAGAAATGCGGTGACGAACTGTGGTCGCATTGCTGGGCTCCGCAGACTCTGAAGCTGTTTTCCCGCGCGTCGTCGACGCGACAGGGACTCTGCGATTTTCCTGCCAAGCTCGCAATATGCCAAAAAATGCCGGGTCGCCAGCGCCACCTCGCGACGGTTTGCAACCGAAAGCACAGATGTGATCTTCGCGTTCGGCACCAGAAGCAGGTCCAGCAAGGCGAACTTCTGAGGCACCACTTCGTCCATTGGTTGCGTACCGGCCTCCATGCACGTAGCCAGTCGTGCTGGAGGGACGTCTTAAAATGCATTGTCGACGCTGTAATTCTGCACCGTGCAGAAATCCATCACAAAATCCCGATTGGCGCATTCAATGTTATGCTCTGCTTCCGCTCCAAAGGCACGGGGCCCAATGATGCGATCCCCTCCCCGTCGACATTGACCAAGTCGGGCATTGAAGTCTCCGAGTACATATGTTGTTCCATTCACAGATTTTGAATCGAGAAGTTGCTCCAGATCCAAATAAATGCAAAGCCTTTTCTGGTAGTGGTCGAAAGTTGTG